AGGCGTGAAGAAAAGACAGACAGACATAGTTAATTTCGCATTTATAATTAATAGTATTATAGTTTGGATATTCAGCTGTTTTCATACCTAAGCATAATACCAATATAGTATATATTTATTTCATTATTTTGCTAGTTCCGCGTTCGCCTAATTACCATTAGACCACCATACATAGATGGGACCCATTAGGGGTCGATGATCGACGTCCAGCAGGAGTTGAGGGTGTAAGTGTACCATGGCACCTGCTCGGTGGAGATATGAGGAGAAGTACCAACGTGCTTTTGAGATCGACCCTTACTGATAAGGGTCTAATACTCCCAGTCATCCCACACAGGGCTAGAAAAGACATCGGATAATTTAAGGCATTCAAAAAAGAAATGAATTTGTTGAAAATGTCTCGTTTAAAACCTCGCAATGCATTTATAAAACTTTGTACTATTTTCTTTATCATTAGCAAACTTTATAAAAGTCAAAAGTCAAAATTATTTATTTCAATTAGACCCATACAGGCACTTTTGAACGTCAACGCAACTTTAAAGATACAAAGTGTCAGTCTGTCGGTCAGTCCTCTTAGTGAAGCTATTCGCTCGTTCCAAAGTGTAGATTCCGATGGAGAAGAACGAGCAAGAAACTCCATGGTTACTCTTTTAAAATCAGTGTCACATAAACATTCTTTGATACATTATTTAGTTAGTTTGAATATGTGAGAACAGTGTAACGCGTGTATACAGAGAAACATAAAAAGAAAATAACCTTAAGGACATTAGACAGTCCGGAGCTGACCAGTCCCAATTGACGGCGCCCGTTCACGAGCATGACACGTACACCAGCATCGCCCAACTCAACCATAATATAGGGAATCGAGCGATCCAGTGACCGTGCCACCGCCAATGTGACCTTTGAGTGAGCATGACAACTCCAAGCTGACATATGGACCGACATTCTGCTAGTCTAACTAATTTTAATAGGTTACAGGGCACTCACATTTACAAATTTATCAAGTTTAACAATAAATATAGCATGGTTACAAATTTACAAAATCTAAGAACTTCCGTTCAAGCAAAGATCCACTGGAACATTATTTATATTCGTGTAGGTATATTATCCTGTGGAGCAGGACCAGCCCGTCTCCAAGCATCCTTATCCTCAATATAGTCACTCAGTTTGTAATATGCTTATTTACACAAAGTTTTCTTTATACATAATTTAAAATTTCTTTCATTTAATTGTTGTATTTCGCCTGGGATTTTGTTATAACACTTAACGCTGAATCCCATATATCCCATTATAAATACGTAATAACTGTGTAAATATATTCAAATAATAATAATAATAGTCATATTTTTAAGTAACATTTTTTTGCACATGAAACTCGATGATTATCTTATCACAGTGTCATCAGTCAAAGACCCGACCTCCCTAAGTGCGGAGCGATGGTTTTATGTTTACTTTTCACATGGAATTCATTATTGTGTTTGGGCAGATTAGGTACTATCTCTGTATATCATCGCATGGCAATATCAACCAATTTATGATTAGGGTTGATAGACGTTGATGGTATTCTAATTTCAACTCTATTTTTTTTTTGATATAAAATTGATTACTGGTATGTTTTTTCTCTCGCTTTCATGTGTAATTTCTTTACATGAAGAACGAATGGTGATATTTTTTTACCATGGTGTCTGACATACATAACAACAGGCGTTATTGTGTCATATTATATGAGTTGATTTTGTAATGTGTCACTTGGATTTCAATGTAACATCTTTCTCCGACTTCATTGACTTGAACGGGTGTTCAAGTAATTTGTGTTTGGGTAACTAGCGTAAGTCCTAAATAGATTGACTTAGTAACAGATGACTGCTGACATGAATGATTCAAATGATGTTCATGTAAATACATACTAATATAAACGAACTTCAGATATATTACATACATCTAATATTATTGCCTAAGTGAATGCTAATAGAAATTCTATTACAACAACACTTTATAAGTATTTCCCCATACCATCCATTCCTTTGCAATACTATTAAAGAAAACCAGGCCCTTCAGTTGTACTGAACACGCTACATTCGCTAATGTTCCACAACACTTGAGATAAAGATGCAAATATATACACTTTCAACCCTGAGTGCTCGGCGTGACCTATTTATCTATGAATCTTCGCGTTATCACACTTGTCCTAGTAAAAGTAAGAATGTTGATCCAATACGTGAGCCAATTTCTAAATGGAATCCATTACTGATATAAGTGTAGAGATGCGGAATTACTAGCAGTAATGTATGTGCTAAATACTGAGTTGTCATTGATATGCAGGACTATAGAACAAGTTATGGGACACTATTCCAGTCACGTCATGTCACACTGTGGAGAAATGAGGATTTTATGTAGATTCTATTTTTTGCATATGACATTGAGATTAAGATGGTTAGTGAGAAAAGAATTATAACATTTCATTCAATATTAAAGCTTTAATGAGGGGGAAAATAAACAAATGAATTCTCCCGCCCTAGGTGGAGCGAGAGGGAGTTTCAGACTTTTTAAGTAAAAACCAACCCCTTCCTCCCTCCTGCTTCGTGCAGCATCGTTGCGCTTCCACCCGCAACTCCGGTTGTTCTTAACTCTAGATAAAGAGGCGACAATGTGAAATTACAATGCTGTATTCTACAAAACAATAATATGAAAACGATGCAGCTGGCTTTCTATGCACCCAAGATGGCTCAAGTCCTCCATAGGCAATGATGAATATCGTCAGGTCATTGCTCGTTCATTTCCTATAACCACCATTAAGTAATTAAGATCCTTTCCCATAGTAACTTGGCCGGTCACGTCAATACGTTTATTAGAGAAATTACGATTAGAAGCAATTATTCACTTTAAAAGTTTCGATGTTTGTTGAACCGACAACTGGAAAACAAAAAAAAAAATCTCTTCTGAAACCTAGATCTTAACCATGCTATTGGTATGGGGACGATAAATGTCATTTTGGACTATAGCACGTATGTTTTTTCCCAAGTAAAGTCTCAAGAATGAGTAACACCGTGAATCAGGGCAAAACCTTTTTGGTAGGTACTTTTCGTGATTCATCGTAGGAGGCGTAAGAGATATAAGGGTGAACAGATGTCGTAATATTGTACTGAAAATATACTCTATAAATCTATGGTTATGCAAATGGTCAGTTTAGAATTATAGCTCGTAAAATGTATACTTTCCCAACTTTCATTGCTTATAATCCATATGTGTTTTGCTTATTAAAAGGTAAAGGAAATTCCTCGTAAAAACTTCAGACGTGTCTCGACGCTAAACATCATAAGCTAGATAGTATAAACAGAATATAAACGTACATACGTTCAGTGTATGTATACCGTCCGAGATCGCGGAAGAATCTGCCCTTTAAATATCGCTTTTGATAGGCTTCCTTATAGATATTTGTTTATCTTAAAATTTCTGTCGTTCATGGAAAATTGAGTTTATCATCTGTCCTACTAAGCCCTATAATATATCAAAACACATCCAGGAACATACAAGGTCCATCAATGAAGTTCCTCCATATAGTATTTCTTAATTTAAGTTTTTATTGTAAATAAATCCCAGTTCTTATTACTTATTATTATATATGTATAGTAAATAACACACGAATTAGGAAAATGTTCAAATTTTGTTCAGCGCTACAGCATTAATTTCTAATAACTTATTACTGGCACTAAACGCACCGTCAACGTTCCAGTACAAATAAATGTATAGGTAATGAATGTATCATAAACATGGCAGTTGAGACATTGCAATCACCCCTAACTCTCCAAGATTAGCGAAAAACAAAAGATGGAGACCACACCGCAAGCTTGTTTCACGGCGAACTCCCGCCCTTATCCTGTCGCTATAAAACGGCAGAGATTCTAAAAATAAATTGGGGACATCCGGCCTCTTCATATGGACTTTTTTCTTAATTTTAGACATAATTGGTTCTAATAAAGTCGCTGTACCGCGTAGGTTGACTTCTAAGAGACTGGCTGGTGACCGTTGGACAGATTTGAATTGTGAACAGGTTTATTGCTGTTGTGGCGACCGTTAAACCTGATGAGTTTGAATTGGATATAGTACAATGTCCTACAGTTGTTCCTTAATCACATTAATAGGGCTCCATCTACTAGACATCCGTTTGCTAGAATGGGGTTAAATATGTCTCAATTTTCTAGTGTAGACTTGTTAGCTAACATCATATAATAAAGATTTATTGAGCTCCCTTTTAAATATTAAATACACATACATTTTATGATACCGTTGTTGTTCACATAAATCCTTTTTAGCCTTACGCATGATGTTGAAATATACTATGGTATTATAATTTTAAACACTGGTTTTCCTACAATATTTTCCTTTATATGTTTATAGAGCAACAAATCTATAATTTATAGTGTTGATCCTCCTTTCAACTGTTGGATCAAAGTAGCCGTTGTTAATCTTTATTGAATTAATCTAGATGAACAGCTCCATCCGTTTATGGTGTCAAGAGTATAAATCTGATGCTTGATACAAGTGCTTCTCATGCATATCAAGTTCTGGGTAGTTCAGCATATGTTCTGTACCTAGTATGGTTGATCTATGAATGCTCTCTTGTTGTGGTTATGTCATAAATTACACAAAAGTGTATTTGATGATGATTAATTCAGTCATAGAGCCCTTTTGCTTAACTGAACAAAAACTTAAAGGAAAATATACAAATCTCCTCTTGGTATGCGAGCTTTTATGTTAACTTATTTGTTTAGTATACGTCCTGCTTACCTGCATTTATAAGGCTATTAATGAACTCGATTAAGTTCAGCGATACCTCACGCATCGCCACAGTAGATAAATATTGTCAGTTTTACAGCTCAATCAAACACTAATTCTAAATCTCGTAGCCACTAAACAAACACAATGATATAAACAAACAAGTGCTGTCAGTACGGCGTCGGACGCTATCCGCGACGGTCGTGTCTTGCGCGCACACGTGGTTTGTCATTTACGCGGGATAAAAACGCGCATACAAATATAAACTCAATTGTTTCAGTGTAAGGTTGATTTCAGCCTGGATTTGTGTCCGTTTTAGACATGTGAGATGTAATTGACCGTTAGGCTGTGACCGTTTTTAATTTGTGCTATGAATGATTAGGCAAATGTGATTATATTTTGGGTGCAGTCAGTTTTCTTAGAATTATTAGAGGAAACTGCAAGTGCTGAAAATAGAGTCGTGTAATGGTTATATCAGCTTGCGGTTTGCGTGTGGAATTGTTTTGTGTTTCATGTGTAAATAAGGAAATTAGGATGTAATGAATTTAGCTAAATTGTTGCTATTTTAAAAATTATTGTTCATATTTTTTTCAATTCTAAGATAATCATTTATTACTTTGCTAGTAAAGCTAATTCTGAAAATTGGAATACAAAATTACAGACTAAACAAAGTCTTAGAATAGTTTTCCATTGGGAAATTCATCACAAAATATTTTTAAATTCTCGTCGAAGTAAAAATCTAGGGCGCTAGGAACGATTGTTGAAAACTTGCTCCGTTCCTATTCAAATATGCTAAACATTTGTTTATCCTAGGAATCTGCGCCCCGTTTTAAGCTGTCTACACTAAGATATTTAAAAATAAATATTCCTCTTATGTTTTGTCCTATTTTCGAGTTGGACTGCAGATTGTATTTGTACCAAATGTGAGCACTAAGCATCTGCTAGATCGACACACTTCGTAAAGTATTAATATCAACGTGTGTTTTGAAAATGTGCGCATCATTTCTATCAGGTTGTCACCAAGGTCTTTCAGGTGAACAGATCACCTTCTTTGTGTACTTTCCCCAAGAAATGACTTGCTGTTTATTGAATTTTATTTGTCTTATTGTGAAGGTGATGTTTTGCGTCATGATCAAGACAACATGTATCTAAATGTTAAAAGTTTCAGTTGAATTAAATCGAAGTTTTAGATACTAAATAAAAAGGAAGTCAAAGTTGCATTGTCTGTAGGTGAAGCTGCTGCTCGTTCCTAAATGTAGATTTGTGAGGAAATGAACGAAAAAGAGTCTCTATCGAAAATATTTACAACAAAAAATGATGGAGCTCAATGATCACTCTAATTGTCAACAATCTCCAAATTCTTTCATATTCACAGGTCATATTTGTAACAGTCTATTCAGTATAATCTTACTTCTCTAATAAAAATGCAAGCACTAAATATTAAACCTTAATTCTTACTTGAGAGTAAGGTTCAAAATTAAATGCAAAAAACCACCTTCCCATACTTCACTAAAAAGCAGGAAATAAAAACCGCTACTACTATTTAAATCAATTACTATGTACTATAAAAATTCCCCCTAAGCTTCCACACAATAGAATCTCCCGCCCCATTGAACACAACACAATCGATCCCTTGAAGTTGGTGGCTGGTACTTGAAGCTGTGTTTATATCGCGCGATACTTTAGAAATTAATGAAGAGCGTTGAACTTGACATTTTAATGTACCCCTAGCGACGCCAGATGCTGGTATTCTAATGTTGGTACTTTCATTAGATGATGGTTATTATGCCAGATGTCCGAACGCACGTGTGGGTATATCAATTACTGTGTAGTAGTGTAGACTTCCTATCTTCCCCTGATGATATTGTTCAATCGTTTTGATTGGTGTCTAAGCTCTAAACCAGGTTGAGAAACTAGACAATCAGATTGTCAATTTTTTTTTGTTCACAGAATTTATCAACTTAATTTTATACCGAGGTATTTGAATTATAGATATGTTATATTCGTGATTGGCCTTTTTGTAGGGGGAAAACCATCAAATGAATTTTCCTGTACTCAGTAGGCTGAGAGAGAGTGATAGACTTATAGTGACTAAAAACACCCCGTACCTGCTCCTGCTCCAGGCTAGGGCCGCGGAACATTATTGCGCTGACGCATGACCAGCAATCCAGGATTCGGGAATGGGTTAACTTCGTTAAGTCAAATCTTACTGTATCAGAGGACATCCAGTCAATATTTTCCTGTCCTGATTAGCAGTATATCCTTACTTGTGAAATCCAACCATTTAGTGTGCTTACTAAGTGCCAAACACAATTAGAAATGAGCCAAATATTAATTAAAGAAATTACTTACTTCCTTGGAAGTAACACCACGAGTTTCAATTACCGTGTCTGTATTAAAACATGTAATTACCACCTCATTATACCAAGCTCTCCCGTTTGTTCACCCTTCATTATCAATCCCGTACAATAAGCAAGCACTGCAACTTAGCATCGTCACTTGTTCTGCTTTATAACAATAACATACTAATATATACCTTATTGTCCTGACAATAGAGGTGTTGACGTTGTATTGAACACGTGCATCCGTCTGCCCACACATGGCTATCTTTTTTCTTTACGCTATTTTTGTACGCAGCTGGATATGTTCTGTGAGGGTAGTACGATATTTTTGTGATTGTGTTTTAGTCGTGGTGATGTAAGTGGTCCTCTTTTTTCTTACTATTTAAATAGTCTATGACGTAAAGTTGTAATAAATTTTATTTTCTATTGAGGTCGGCTACCAATTTCAACCTTGGTGATCTAATTCTGTCGTTCTAAGTGATTTTTAAACAAAGACTGTACTTTATACTATATGAGAAAAATGTTATGGAATTTGTTTTGTTGTTTATGTATGTAACTAAGCTTTATTTACGTAAATATTACCAGTTTATGTTTGATATTGACGCAATGAATTTTGTATATTGATTATAGTTGGAAATTTCTCTTCTTTGAATAGTAAATTCGTTTGCGCTTTTGTCGATTTTCTTAAAACACTCATTGCTAATGTAACACCTACATCTATAGGTATTCTCAATAACCAGTTGCAATTAAATTTCATGATAAAATCTACCGGTAGTTGTAATTGAACAAAGACGGTATGCAGAAAACAAATTAACATAAGGTGACACTAACTTCAAGCATTAATGAAAGGATGCTAAGTAAAACACGTTTCAGTTAGCCTAAACTGATATCGTTGGATTAACTCCCAATTGTCCAAATGTTCTAACTACAATGAAATTACGGAAACTAATTCATAGGAATACCACTATCTTTCGTTTAAGATTACTTTTCTATAAAACGTATTTTCTTTATTTTTTTGTGATCTCCAATTTTCAGTCTTATGTTGTACAGTATATAGTCGAGTTTAGATCGGTACTTAAAAAACGTACACAAGTGCATAATGTATGAATTAATGCGTCGTTATAAAAAAGTGTTGGTATCAAAGTTGGAATTATTCAATGAACTAAAGACATAGTGGCGTGTGGTCGACAATGTGACTTCATCATGGTGATTTTGAGAAAGTTTATGGTACGTTAAATAGATTCTTAGCATTTACTAAGAATTAGAATTTAACTAGTAACACATTTACAGAATTGGTCTGTTTGAATTAAGAATATTGAGTTGCGAAGGTGTAGTTTAACTTGTAAAATTGTCTCTGTCTGTTTTAATATTTTATGTAACTCAAATAGGAAAAATGATTCACTTAAAATATTAGCCACGATGTTTTGAGTTTTAATTTGTTCCAAATAACCTTTTTAATAAACTTGTGTGTAATTGTAGTAAACAAAAAATAATGTTTTTGTTGACAGTGTTCAAGTCTTCGCGACGAGTTATCCGTCGGCGAGGACAAGTGGAAACAACGACGTAACCTCATCTTCGACCAAAACAGACAGCTGGAGGAGGTGACCAGAGAAAGGTAGGTTTATTTATTTATTTTGGACAAACAAACAGTAACACATTATATCTGCGCAAACAACATGACCAAAGATTTTATATAAATGTGAAACTCACAGCGTTATCCGCTACATATACTATACAATTCATATAACTCCAACATCACAAGCTACAAGATGTCATCTGTTGAACATAAGCCTCCCCGATCGCCTGCCTTACTTAGAACCTTACGCAGATACAACTCTTAATAATCTTAAAATGTGGTCAGCCGGGGTTGCGGGGTAAGCGCAATGAAGCACCGCGACCTCGGCCCAGAACAGGAGAAGGAACGAGAGGGTTTTTAGTCAGTAAGAGTCTGACATTTCCTCCCGCCCGACCCTGGGCGGGAGAAATCATTTGACGATTTTCCCCTCACAAAAAAAAAACATGTGGTGTTTGCCTATAATTGGTTATGCGTTTAGCTTATAAATTTTTTGCATGTATCGATTTTTCCATTCCTGACTACTGCATGTTATTAACTGTTGGTAACACAATTAATAAAAAATAAATCAATTAAATGATTATTTCTCCGCCTCGTAATAGACAAATAGGTAATCTATACTAATGTTATAAAGAGGTAAAATTTGTAAGTTTGTATATAGGGGGTAATCTTTGAAACCGCTGGTCGGATTGCCAAAATTCTTTCACTGATAGATAGCTACGATGTTCCTGAGTGCTATAGGCTATAAAACATCACGCTACGATTAAACGGAGCCGAGCAGCGGGTGAAACCGCGCAAGAGTAGCTAGTCGAAAATATAGTATAAAAATGTAACCATCAGTAACTAGTAGTCTCTTAAATCCATTAGAAATAATTGCCTAACGTTGATGCATGTAGTAAGAATCGTATTTCGCGTGAACCTTGACCCTAACATGACATAGGCAGGACAATCATAAGAGACCTAGCCGTGATTGTGTATGTAGGAATAAAATAGGGAGTCATTTATTTGATTGAATAATTTCATTACATTCTGCATGAGCTACAGTTTAGTACTTCCTTATTTAAATGGTCGAATACGATTTCTAACAAAAGGTTTAAGTACTTTTATATTTGCCTCTTGATAGTTCTTCATTTTTGCAATTCTGTTTTGTGTGACTTTAGCATATTCACAGCTAATTTTGAAATCCTAAAAATGTATATTCATTTTCAGAGAGTCATATATTGTATTTTACTTATTACAATAAGTACGATAGGCCTGAGAACAGGATTTGATTCTGGGTTAAAGTGTAACATGTGTTGTTCCGTGTTGCGTCACGTGCGGCGCCCATCAAAACGTTGCAGCCGGCACAAACAAACAGTCACACGGATATAACATTAACCGATTCCGTGCGGAAGTCTTTTTAGCAATCTTTAGTGCCTGGCGTCAAACAAAAATTCTGTGATGCCTCTGAGGCACCAAGCGCCAGAAAGTTTGATGATTCCCCTGGGGAATCATCCGCCATGAATTGTCACTTTTAGCTTGTTTTCTTGTTTCTACTTGCTAAAATAATCATTTGACATTGTGTATCTAATGTAGGCAGTCAGTAAATTCGTTCAGTGCGTTTAAAAGTGACGATCTGTGTGTTTTTATGGAAATGGAAGGTAAGTGACTAATTTATATTAGGGGTCGTAAACCTTTTTGCATTATTTCATGGATTTATTTATTCAATTGTTGTAAAGAATTTATACACGTACCACTTGAGTTTGTCGCGAGGTGATATTTATTTATTATTATTTACAATACAGTGTTTTGTAGGGAAACAATTTTAACTTCACTATTTTGATGATAAAATTGTTTCTCTACAAAATACTGAATTACTGTAGAACATTTAACTGAATGGGAAGTCCGATTCTAATGAATCAAAAATATTGTACTCGTAGGTACCTATAAACATTTACATGATTTTGAAGTGTTTTATTTGGATAAGAATGTAAATGTGTTTTTATTGATAAAAAATATCTGTCTATCCATTTAAAAACGAGTTACCCAGAAAAAAAATGAAATATATTCCTCAATCAGAAGTCGAAACTCAATGCGACAACGACGACGACGTGTTTTATGAGAATTCACAAACTTATGACGATTGGGAACCAGAAGCGAATAAGGATAGCGAAACTATAAAAAAAACAACGAAGGATTGTGCAACATGCACAGAAAAAATAACAAAAGATAAAACACCGAAAAGACCGAAAAAACATTCCAGAAAGTGGGCTGTTAGAATTATAATCAATAATAAAATGTGTCGGCAACTTGGTTTACAACCCCTGATGTCAGCTAATTTGCGAAATTACTTAAAACGAACACTGTGGGCATGATAAGGGTGACAAATAAAGACACTTTTATTTAGGGGGCTCTTTTAACGAATGTGGTTTAAGCCGAGTTTTGTATGATTTAGTTTTGTATCCTCTCGGGCACCATACGCCATACGCAATAGATTTACATGGTGCCTGTGCGGCATCATCCGCACGGAAACGGTTAATTTATTGCCACAATGTTTGGGATAAACACCTTTTAAGTGTTATTTTGGTCATTTCTTACGAATATGGGATACTTTGAAGTAGGCATTGATTTCGTATTCGAGTGAAAGTGATTTGTTGATAAGTTAACGAGTAATCGATTTACAGCTGTGCTTCTAAATACTATGAAACACTTTATGGGAATATTTATAGGTGGTTAACTTCTAGCACACTTAAATTAATGTGGCTTGTTTTGTTAGTGGTTGAAAAGTTCTAACACTTTCGTTTGTCAATGATAACTATGCACACATCATTAGGCAAAATCATTATAATATATTCTCATATTACACTAATATAATATTAATGTATTGTTAATATGTTTTTTAGGGATGACTTAAAACGCGTAGCAGTAAGCCTGCATCGCGTGGTTGGTCAGCTCGTGGCGTACTGCGCGAGCGCAGAGGACGAGCTCAACCGCACTGTACTGGCGCAGCTACTCGCCCGGTTAATGCCAGGGGAAAACGAGTAAGTATATGGATATATTTATATGGAATATTATAAGAAAGAAAATAAATATAAGCTATTGATTAGGATGCCCAAAGAAAGACAAATCTCGTAAAAATATGTTTGGAAGTCACATAATCATTTTACGGGTACGGGTATGTTATTTGCTCATTTCAACGCGTATCGCTTCATAGCGAGAATTGCGGGTTAAGCGTAATATGGACCGTGGCCCTGCTCTGGAGTAGGAGAGGGTACGGGGTGGATTTAAGTCAGTAAGAGTCTGACACTCTCTCGCCCTAGCTGGGGAAAGTGATGATTACCCCCTCAAAATAAAGCGTAATACTCCTTTGATCAAAACGTGTCATCTTACTTAAACGAAATTATATAAGTTATTTTAATAAAATTGTCAGAAGTTGATATAATGTTAAAAATAACGACGAAGTACATTCTCTTTATATTTACCTGCACTCATTCTTGTAGTTATAATCCATAAACACCACCCTATTGACTAGACCCAATTATACCAAATATAACCGTACTACAAAGTCCTACATATACCTAAGTATACAGCTTTGATTCTCGTAAACCCCTCGGCCGATCTATTTAGGAATAAACAAGATTAGCAAGTAATACGTCGCGTCGCAGAGGTGCACCACTGACACAACAAAACTGTTCGCTCGGCGCACGCGCCGTTTGTGTCTCTAAACCGCTTTGATCTATCACCGTCGCATGCGATGTATTTAGTTCAAACTCGGGTTACTACGAATATTAGTCATGAACCGCTAACTTAGTTGTTGTAAATGGAATAAAAGTCTTAATTTAATCCGTTAAGTTCTTTAAGTAAGCTTCTTAATCGGAAATGCAATCTTAAAATTGAGTTCCTTTCATATGTAGATAAATTGATTGGGCATCGTTTTGGCGTATAAATATTATTGCTTAATATTCTTTGGTGTCTGTCTTCCCTACGTGATAATGTTCATGTATTGCGTATGAATTTTAAGATTTTATCGCTACCGAATCGTCCAGGATAACATTGATCTTTGATTTATAACTGACGTCAATAATTCGGATGTTTAATCTTAGTAATGATCCAATGTGTTTTTGTATAATCATACGCTGCTGTACTCCCGGGTTTTATGCGCATGTCTATTTTCAAACTTTCAACGATAAATACTGCAAAACTGTCATGACAGAAGTCTGAATATTTGAAATAGTCTAAGAATGCACAGATAGAATCTATACGAGTGTAAAAAGTAATTGCGTAAATCTGTCGAATGTAAGTGCTAAGCGGAAGCTACAATTTAGCGGTATCGCCGCCGCTGCTCGAATTTATGTGTGCGCACGCGACGCTCTCCCACGGCATACGAATAGGGCTGTTACACTTTAAGATTGAGTATACTATAGAGTATTGGAACTGCATGCTTTGTAAAAAATTGTAGGTATGTACTACGTAGGGCATAGTCACCATGATTAACATATTTTAGTATTAGTACAGCAAGGTTAACGATGTTTTTTAAAACAGTCAAATACTTAATTATGTTTCTAATATTGATGTGTTGCATTTCTATCCTATTTCAAAATATATATACATATCTCATCTCTTCATAATATTATTTATCCTAGTGTAAGATCTTTATCAAATGGAAGTAGGTACTTACATGTTATTTGAATAAATACCAGTAGTCGATATTTTTTTCTACATATCAACATAAGGAATACTTACAACCCTACAATAATTACAAATGTGATTCAAGGTGTTAATATTTAACCAAAATTAATACCTCCAGGAGGTAATGTCTCACTGGCGGTATGCCAAATTATCTGCATCGCTGCTAATATTGATGCTTAAAGTGTTCGATTTGTAAGCGGGTGGGATTCCGTCTAAATGTGTGACGCACCCCTCCAGTGTTTCATTAAAGGTTGCTGCTAACCTTCAAGCGAACTTCTATGCGACTCTGGTTCGCCTTGGACGGATTAATGTTTTATTTTATTCTCATTTAGATACCTAAACTTTTACATGTATATTCTATATCTGTCTGTTTCTTTCGCACTTCGTCTTCATTGACGAACACTGACAGACTACTATTCTATTACAACGTTTCAAAAGTACCTATTTATGGTTTTGTTGGAATACATGATTTTCACTTTGACGTTTAGGTCATTTTTAGTCAATTTTGTCTTTAGTATAAGAAATGATATAACATTATTATATGAGAGAAATGAGTTAATCAGTAGATTGGGTTTTGTTCTTCAGTCGTATCAATATGTATGTTCGTCGTATATCGTGATTTCCTGATAATAAAATTATCATGGGACTTGTTACTACTGACAGCAACAAGTGAAATTAGTACCAATATTTCTAGATACGCTGGCCTCCAGCCAAATATCCCTTACGCGTGTAATTCGACAGACACAAGATTAGTACGACACAAGTGTTATCGTAACATTGGTAACATACTTTATGTAAGTGCATTATGTCGGTAACAGTGGCGTCTAGTCGCCTAATGTAACCATTAAATATTATATTTGTACGCCGTCACATTATGTTTCCGCGTGTAATAAATAGAATCGCAAAGTTTATAAGCTATACACGACGCGGCTGGCGCTAGTTTCTCCTGGTTCTACAATTATTATGTTCGAATGGAGTACTTGCTCTCTTTAACGCTGTGAATTAGGTAGACACCAAGTGTACAACCACGACGTGTATTTGTCGAGGTTGTTGCCGGCCTTGAGCAGGAGAAAGAACGAGGAGATTTTACTGTCAGTAAGAAAACAACTCCCCACCCAGGACGGGAAAAGTTATTTAATGATTTTCCATTGGCAAAAAAACCAAATGTGGCATTAATTCTTTGTAAATTTTTCATTTCCTTGAGATCAGAAGAAATTTAATGTTTGCTTAAAAATCTACAAGGAATATGATCCTGATGTATACCTGGCGATGCGCCAGGGCAGATGCCCTTTCCACGTTAGTAGTGCAGTGACACGTGGGTGGCGAGTAGAGGTGACGGGCCAAGATATGGCGGCGCATGTACCGCCGCGCTTAGAAAACGATTAAACTAATATTTACGCGTATTCCTGGCGTTCCTGGAAACGAAGGCGTCATGAAACTAAACTCCTTTTGAGATTCGTTACAGACGCTAGACGTGAACACAGACCAGACAAACCGACTCTTGCATAGTAATCCCTTTGATTTTTTCTAAACTTTCAAACAGTTTTTAAAATAAGTGATAGTGACTGATTGCTCGGATGACATGATGGCTGAGCTAAACGGCTGGGGCAGCGTTTTGCGGGTTCCCACACGTAACAACTATTGCGTGATCTACAAATTGTTGTTCCGGGTCAGCGAAAAATGTATACTTATAAACGCACCCACTACACAGAAAGATAATCCTAATGTGGGGAAACGTTTCATTTTAAGTTTTAATTACTCTTTTATTCATTGAATTATCTTGTCCTCTTCCAGAACGTTCATAGAGGACGACTCTCGGCCGACGACTCCGAACCTGTCCACGGAACTGAACCAGAGCTTGGTGTCCCGGAGTGGGAAGCACGTGCATTTCGCGCCAGATCTCAACGCTATACTCACTGATTTAGATGAGGTTTGTATTAGAGAATAAGGCATCTGATCTACATACCTACTAAATAAACTCTTTTCTATCTTCTTCATGTGTATACGTAATAGAAAAAGTGCATGTAGAAAATGGGCACTTTGTCTAATAAATTATGAGGAATTTTCAATGCATAATTGCACTTTTTTTAAATAAATACTTATTATCCGTCACTTGTTTTTTCTCCTGTTTCGTGGGTGCGTTAAGTTTTATTCATTGTACTGACGATGTTATTTTTTATTCTTTCCATCCAGTGTTTAAGTAAAAAGCACTATTATATACAATGAAAAATAAGTATTGAATTTGAATTGTTATAATTACAGTATTAATTATTCAAACATCAATGTCATCTCCACACTTTGCTTGTGTGATCTTTTTTAACATTGTGATAACCATATTTTTTTATTTTGCATTTGCAGGAGGGTATAGTGAATTTCCTGCAACAACAGCGTGATCTCAGTGCGGATATTAAGAAGGAACTAGAAAGTTCTCTACGAAGGCTAAGACATGAAGCGCATTCCCTGCTTGACCTGTCCGCTAAACTTGCTTCTAGTAAGTAGAAAAAGAAAAAATGTACTCATAACGTAACCCCTTTTATTGTTACAATACAAAACGAATGTCTCCTTTTTTGAGGGGGAAAATATTAAAAAAAATTCGGAGAAAGGCCCTTACTGAATAAAAGCTACCCTGTTTCTTCATCTGTTTCCGGGTCAGGCCACAGTGCTTTATTACCCGGAACATTTGTCTAGTTTTATTATGATTCCTATGAGATTAAGAACGTAAAAGTGATTGAAAAAGAGTAACCATGGAGTTTCTTGCTCGTTCTTCTCCATAGGAATCTACACTTTGGAACGAGCAAATATCTTCACTAGAGGACAGACGGACAGACTGACACATATAAAGTTAAACCTTATGATATCTTTTTGCTTGACGTTCAAAAGTGCCTTTTTTTGGTCTATTTGAAATAAAGACTTTGATTTGATTTGATTTAGCAATTGTTATTCGCCGCGTACAACTGGAGACTATGCATTTACTTTATATTTATTTTCGAATTTATAAACTTTTTTACTGACCTGTGAATTATACACGAAACCTTCGACCGACCAACTTTCCCAACAAAAAGTCAAACCTTTGATATTCTATTTCAACATGTATTGTTTGTTATTTTGCAGGGATCCGTCGAGACACTGGTAACATGCTGGAGTCGAGTATACAGATCACGGAGCTAGTTCAGGAACTCGATAACAAACAGAACTGTGACAACTGTGAGATGCATAGAAAGGTAATTTATTTAGAAACTACCAATTATATTTTACGAGTTAACTCAACTGACTTCAAGCTAAACTAGGGCCTAATTATGTCATGGATCGTGCCAGCTGGTGTCATTTATTTTAAAAAAATGAATAAATTGGCAAAAGGATACACTTAATGTTTATATTATCCTTTCTAGAATATGGAGGAAGCCATGGCGGAGTGTCTCCAACGTGAAAACTTGCTTCGTTCCGACCTGGAGGCCGCTATGATCAAGATCGCGCAGCTCATGACCAGCGGGGATGTTATCGCTGAAGGGTAAGTTCAACAAAATAAATTGTGTCAGATCAGTATAGAGATCGAGCAAAGTACATAAACAATATTACTTACTCGATTTAAGTTATAGTAAGATATTATACCAGTGGTTATATTTAAGAATTATCCAAAAGAAAATGTATTGTGTATAGCATAGTCTTACACACGTTCCAACATAAGAAAACAATACATAAGTCCCTCCTTCCCCCTTCCAGATACGGTACAGGTCCGCAGCCAGTGTCGGGGCAGTGCCGCGCGCGGCCCGCCCCCCCGGCGCCGCAGTCCCCGGAGGGGGGCAGCTCCCCGCGCCTGCAGCGCCTGGCGCACGACCTGGACTCGCTGCAGCGCGAGCGGGACGACCTCGTGCAGCAGGTACAACATACCTCTTACTTACTATTCTTAAGCAAAGCGGTAAACGGCCACACCGATTACCTGATGGTAAGCACTGACAATAAATTGCCCATAAACAACACAAGGAGTTACAAGTTCGTTCTTTATAGGAACTCTTTTTCTGACGGTTCGAAAATACAGCCAGCTACATCCATAATTTTGCTGTCAGAAGTAGATAAAGCGCAAAATACATACTTATATATTTTATTAAAGAAGATACTTCCTGTTAAATAATCCTACTAACCATGTCTTACAACTATTTCCTATAATGCTATCGTCTTTATGACGTCAATACATCTAATACTTATTACTAACTGGTATAAAAACTATCAAAGGTAAAGAAGAGAATTACATCACTATTTTTTTTTATATTGAAACTAACAAAAAACAAGAAACAGTACACTTTATAATGCACCTGATATCTTACACTAATATATATCCAATACAATTATGTACATTATGTATATTGTTACAATTACAATAATATATAATTATTTTGCACCGACGCACGCGCAGGTCAAAAGGATGACAGATTCACCCGTACATAAGATTTGTTGCGAAAAGGTAAACGCACGATATAACCGCTTATGTATATTATTTGTCTTTATTTATGTATTCAGTATTTCACTACTTGTCACTGTATTTTTAAATAATTATCCATTTCGCTTTTACATTTTATATGTTGATTATTTTACAATTGTTATTGAGTAATTTAGTTCCTGTTCAGAGTAATTTATTTTGGAAAAGCCTGATTGCCAATGTTTTTTATAGTTTTGTATGTCAGAATCAAATTATTTATAATATTTATATTTGCTTTGTAATGTTAAAAAACGTTTTTTGTAATTTCGAAATGTATTTTATTACGCATGGCTTAGCTTTCAAAATGTTTAAATGATAAATCTTTGTCGTAAATATAGTCTTAAGCTTTGCATGTTTTTTCGTACACATTATTGAGAACATGTTTTTAAATGTCAGCTGAATGGACTTGCAAAGAAACCAGCTAGGCATAAATTATCTGGTTGAAGAATCCTCCCTTAACCGAGATCTTAGTGAACATCACACTTAGTTCCTTGCGGTTGTGAACGGGATTTGTCAACTTTTTCATTTTTTTTTTATATGGTAGTTCGCCAAACGAGCTGACGGATTACCTGATAGTAAGCAACCGGTGCCGCCCATGGACACTCGCAACGCCAACGAAGTTGTTAATAGTGCGTTGCCGGCCTTTTGAGGATAAGGGTTTTGGATATTTCAGGATTGGGGAGGAATGGGAAGAAGGGTAGAGGGATTGGGCCTCCGGTAACCTCAACTGACACAAACTGTGTGAGACAGTGAAACACAATGTTGTGGTTGTTTCACGCCGTCTTTCTATGAGGCCGTGATATCACACCGGTCGAGCCGAGCCATCTTCTCCCATACTTAATTTATTTATTACCAAATAAATAAGATGCGAATCGCGAGCCTATGCTTCATAAATAATGTTGTATGCAGTTGGAGGCCGCCAACCGGCAGTTGCGTTCGACGCGGCAGTTCGTGGAGGAGCAGGCGGCGGAGCGCGAGGCGGAGCGCGACGACTGGGCGCGCCGCGAGCGGGACCTCACGGACGACGCCGCGCGACTCACTGCCCGTCTGCAGAACAACGCCAGGATACTCAACGAGGTCTCACTCACTAACATTTTCTTCTTATCAAACACCCTGTATGTCCTTGCACTAAGGTTTAGATTGCACTGTGATTAAATATTCTTGATGGCAACTGTATATCGCGTAATAGTGATTCTAAGATGCGCCTTTACCTAAATTTTTTACATTAACAACTTTAACAAATTCCAGAAATCATTAATAAAAATGTGTTATTCTAGAATAATAAATTTCAATGAGTCCGTAATTATTATTAAAATATAAAGATATAAATGTGTGTTCTATAAGCAATTATTATACTAGAAACAAGATTATAATGCAATCTAAACTTTTATTTTTGTCTTTCTGGTTGCAAGCAATTGCTTGTGTTGTTTCGTCTCTTGTTTTGTAGACAACTTTTAACCAAGCTTGAAACATTCACAAAAATATATATAATAATTTTGTTTTTTTTTTGTGATGCTAAGCAAATTGTGTTTTATAGCATTTTTTGTTTTGTATTGTTGCACATTTTTTGTAATCTGCACTTGAACACGGGAGTGGATTCTTCACCTAATACTCTTTAATTTTCATTAACTAATTAAACATATTTAGCACTAAATGGTTGATGTTTGCACACTAATCTTACTCACTTACCCATACGACAACTACCATAAGAATCTTGTATGATTTTTGAAGGGCGAATAACTGACCACAATCAACTTTAGGCTACACAGATGTACATTAAAAATAAGTCCTATTTTTAAACGCAAGTTAGATGCACGTATTTTTACGATTCGCATTATATTCTTAGTGCGAGCTTACTTCTAGAAGATATAGCAACAACCACTACATGCAAGTCAGTATAAGTATAGTTGTTGAAAACTTTGTCACCCGACATAAGATATTAGACAATCATTCATGTCCCTGAGACTTTAGTGTTTTGGTGTTTTCATGACTGTATGTACTGTAGGTTCTGGAATATAGTGTAGCAGCGGGTTTAGGATGTTGTCGCAAAAAAAGGAAATCAAGGCAATTCTCCGCTGTTGAGGGCCATATCTTGTTCCACCGCGTTCAACTTGTTAAAGGTCAAGGAAAAGTAGTGTATGTAAAAGAGTCGTATGGGTAGGCGTGTAGTAACGGTCCCCGGTGTCTGCAGATGCACGGCCTGCGTCTCTCCTATTGCAACTGTCGTGAGCACGACGCGCACGTAAGTACTCACTTGTACCCTACACTGCCTCACTGATTCAGTAACCAAGATGTACAATATATGTATGGGTACAAGATTATATACAAAGTCATTAAGAAAATACTTGTAAAACCTTAAAATATATAGACATGAGGTAAACAATACTACATTTACCTTGTTATAATTATTTCGGCCACAACATGTAACAAGGTTCTAGGGTATGTAGCTGAGTTTTTCATTTTAATATGTAATATATTGTCTTCTTGGTTACTGAATCTGGCATGCATTGTTATATGTTGTATAGCAGTAGTTAGAATAGATTTATGTGTTGTAACGTAAGTTTATGTAAGTAGGTTTGTTACGCACTTAACAGCATGCTGAACACTCTAGATAACTTTTTATTTTTTCTCTTCTACCTAAAATCTCTTGTTCTATCTTATCTTACGTTAACAATTACTTCATTTACAACTAAATATTTAATTAGTAAACCCTAATGAATAGAACTTTTCTTATTCTAGTCTCATAAAATTCAGTAATTAAAAACAGGGTAGCAATTATAACGATCAACCTTCAATCTTCTCACACTCCCCCCTTAACGACCCAGGTGGAACAGCTCGAAGCGCAAACACGAGAGATGAACCAAATTATAGCGGAACTAGAAACACGGAAGACATCCACAGACAACGAATTGAAAGCCTCCGAAGAGAAAGTCTCCTTACTTCGAGACATCATCGCTAACTTGGAGAATCAACTAGAACAAAAAACTACACACGAGAATGAAATATTGGAACAGTTAGAAGAAATGAAGAATACTATCGAAGAAAGAGATAGCAAGATGAGGACTTTGCTAGGTGAACTGGAATCGCTAAAGAGTGAGAGAGCCGAACAGAGTGATGTTGTTTGTGACAAGTGTGGACAAGACGAAGTAAAGGCTACGGAGTTAATGGAGAGGGTTAAGGAACAGGTAGGTATCGATAGTTATTGTATATTTCTGTAAATAATCTTGCTTTGTACATATTTCTGATATTTTGCACAGCACAAATTACTCATTTAAATTTTAACCTAGCTAGTGTTGGTTCTGTCAGAAAACCTAACTGTATCGTTAGCACACTTTTTTCTGTCCCTTGGTAGAATAAAAGAAAGATCCCATGCAGGGTTATCGACACTATATGTTAGTACTATGTCTATATATTTAGTTTGAACCTTTCAATAATTGCCAATGTTACACAGTGTCAGTACTTGGAAGATATGGTACACCGGCGCACGCGCAAAATGGAGCGCATCCATGAGGTCTGCTCTACTAGCTGCAGCGAGCCCAGCGAGGATGTGTCACTAAGAGACCAGCGACACAGGGATCTGGAGGTAAATATTGCTTTAATTGGTATCCATTTTTGTTTGTAGAATTTGATGAAAGTGGCCAGTCTCGAGTTGACTGAAAAAAATGTAGCCAGAAGTGAGTGCGTGACAGAGGACACACAGAGAATCCAATAAAACAAAATTAACAGAATTTTGTTTTATTGGATTCTCTGTCCTTCCCTGGTGATAGGAGGACCCCAGTCCCTAAACCCCCGACCCTTAAATCCTTAACACTAGAAAGGCTGGCAACATTCTTATAACATGGGAAGTTGTAGGTGTTTAACCCATAAAAAATTGACTTGAGTTGTTCCATCTTCTATTGAAGAGTGATAGAAGAAAATAAATCTTTAACACCATTTCAATAATCCGAAACAGTTCACTTATGGCCAGATATATCTAATGTAGAGGACATTTGAGAGTTTTGCCATGATCTCCACGCCTGGCAGCAGGACCCAAAGAAGGTGTTCTCTTCAATTTTCAGTCCTTTTTGGAGCTTCTTGGACACCCAATCGTGTTTGTCTTCATAACACAGCTCAGTACAATGTTTGACATGAAATGTTATGTACCCAGATGAAGTCCCCGGAGCCGGACTCGTCCCCCCTTGCGCCGCCAGTGAGCGAGCTGGCGGGCGTGTGGGAGTGCATGCAGGCACACGCGCGCGCGGAGGACGCCGTGCTCAAGCGGGTCGCTGACCTCGAGATGCAGCGCGCCCAGCTCAAGGATATTGCGCAGGTTAGTGCCAAACATTATCATCATCATCATCAGCATCTTTGATGAACGTAGGCTTGCCAAGGCCTCCTAATGATTCCAGTTCACCAGTTGGAAGCAATCTGTACCTATGTCGTATATTATTTTACCTCTAGTAAAGAAGTATGTCTTAAACCGTGACCATTCAGAATTAATAGGGTTCCCAAAATTTTCGGTGACGCAAAAGTAATCGGACGCAAAAGTTTCGGATCTAATGCCCATCCCTCCGAAATTGTAGGGCATTTCTACAGAAGCGCGTATCTTCAGAATGATACTTTACAAGCATATACATATTTTGAGCATTACTTAGACTCAAATGTAATCGAAAATCAAAATTATTCTTAGGACTTTAAATTTCAAATTCTGAACATATGGCGCCTCATTTGCCAAGCAAATAAAATTAGAGGTTTAGTTACATACTGACATAAACTTTCCGAATTTAAGTGTGCACTTTACATATCAAATTTTATTACTTATGTGTATTTTTGAAAGTGCTCTAAAATTTATATTCGTCAACATACATATAATAAAAAAAGTATTCGTAAAATAATGAGTCAGCCAGTGAGATAGATACGTACGTACTAACATATCGTTAGGCGATTTATTTTCACTTACGAAAGACATGAGTATGTGGAGATCAGTAATATTACAGAAATAATATGACATAAGTTGTCAATATCAGAGCGCAAAGATAGTTCATGCGTCGTAAAATTTTATTGATCTCTTAGGAATGCGTGCATAAGATATACGCATTCCTGCGAAAATTCCGCAGTGCAAGCGTTTTATTTCGATATTAAATATATTTTTTACTTTATACTTTTTAAACAGGTTCTCTTGAGCTTAAGGTGCAATCTAATACTACCATACTAGTAAGTTTTATAACCATTGAAATTGGCGTAAAACGTTTTTTAATCAAAAATGATCAAACGATATATTATTATTTTTCTTTTATAAGTGATTGCCTTGTTGGTTAAGTGTGCTTCGTTAATTGGATCTTGGCAAGTGCGACTATGTGAGTATTTCGATTTTCAAAAAACCTCATTAGATGGTTATCTTGAATTGATTCTCAGTGTAGAAAAATTTGCTTACTTTAAATTTCTTTGCGTTTTTAAGGTATGTAGCTTGATACTTATCCTTCAAAATAAAAATTCTTTCACGTGACGCCTCTACCTATCGTTGAAGTTTGGATAATGTCCCTGGGCCCTTAACACAGGCTATTTTAAAGAGAGAGATAAAGAGATAAAGAGATAGTTTATTTTGCAAATATGGGTAGTACAATAATATTTGTGGTGTTAGGTTAGGTACAATGCGAGCTCAGCCATATTTTACCAGTAGGCATGCAAAAATTAATTTAAAGTGTTACAAATTATAAACATGTCATCCTAAAACTTAAACTTACTGCTTTATAAATTAAATAGTTACAGTCCATAAACAAAAGTCAAAACAGAAATTACTTAAACAATGTCAAATGTTAAAATGTCAAAGAAATAATAGTTGAAATGTCCTTAAATGCAATTAAAAATTAATTATCTAGTTGATTCTCCATTAAAAAATCTGCAACATTATAATATGCTTTGTCTACTAAAAGTTTTCTTAGTTTGTTTTTTAATAATGACATACTCAAATCCCTCCAAGTCTTAGGTATTTTATTAAATATTTTAGGTGCCATGCAGCAGACACTTTTGCTAATAAGTGTTGTCTTCGCTGTTTGAAGACATAATCGACTATTGTCTCGTCTATTTCGCGCAACTACATCGTTCATTTTCTTAAAATATTCTGGATTTGACTTGACAAACATAGCCATTTCCATTATATAGATGCATGGTAATGTTAAGATTTTATACCTCTTAAAATATGGTAAACAGCTCTCAGTAGTGTCAAGTTTATACATTGAGCGAATACACCTTTTCTGAGCTTTAAATGCAACATCTTTATCTGTGGAGTTGCCCCAGAATATAACCCCATAACGAAGATGTGGTTCAGCTATACCGTAGTAAGCAGTTAGAAGCGCTTCCTTCGAAACCTTATGTGACAGTGTATGTAGGGCATATGCAGATTTACTTAGCCTCTTACAAACCTTGACTACATGTGATTTCCAGTTTAGATGTTCGTCAATTTCTAAACCTAAAAACATGGTACTTGCTACTTTGTCAACTGTTTGGTTATTATAACTAACGGCAATATCTTTACTACGGATACGTTGTCTAAAATGCATAACTTTTGTTTTTGTGATGTTAATTTTTAGGTTATTGTCATTTAGCCATGTTATAAACGAAGCTAGAGAATCATTAATTTCGTTTTCATATAATTTTGGATCATTACACGGTACAGTTATGGTACTATCATCGGCAAACAAAGTCAAGGGTTGCTGAATGTGTTTCAGTAGGTCATTTATATATAATATAAAGAGTAATGGCCCCAGAACGCTGCCTTGTGGTACCCCATATCTAACTTCACGTTCTGATGAATGAAAAGTTTTTTCGTGATAGCTGCTATTCATTCTTTGGATTTCCGTCTTTTGTTTCCTATTACGTAAATAAGATTCTATTAGTTTAAGAACGTTACCTCTGATTCCATAGGCTTCAAGTTTGTCCAAGAGAGTATTAAAGTGTACATAGTCGAAAGCTTGGGTCATGTCACAGTATATGGCACAGACTGGTTTACGTTCATCTACTTTTGTAATAACCCCTTTTATAAAATCATATATAGCCATGTTTATTGATTTACCTTGTCTAAAACCTTTCTGTTCGTAGCACAACAACTTGTTTTTTTCTAAGTATTTATAAGTCTCTTTATATATGTACTTTTCAAATATTTTCGATATAATCGGAATATGTGCAATAGGCCTATAGTATTCCATGAGTTCCCTGTTTTCCTTTTTAAATAGTGGCTTTATTATGGAAATTTTTAATGCATCTGGATAAATACCGGCGCAAATGCTAAGATTTAAAATATGACTAAGGTGCCTACATATGTTAGGGGCTACTATTTTAAGTATCTTTGTTGAGATACCGTCGTAACCTACACTGTTTGTGTTCTTCAGTGAATTAATAATTTTTAGTATATCACACGGTACACTTGGAGCAAGGAACATCGAATTTTGTTGGATACATATACCGTGTGGTTTTGGTTTGTTAAAAGTATTGAGATTAGGTTGAATTTTATCAATAAAATAATTATTAAAAGCATTAGAAATATCTATCGGATTAGTGATTGTAGTTTGGTCATCAATCTTAATGGAATATATGTATTGTTTAGGGATATTATGTTTTCTTTGGTTTATGATTTGCCAAGTAGTTTTAGATTTATTATCTGATTGGTGTATCTTGTAATTATTTTGAGCCTGTTGTGTAAGATTAATAATTTTCTTATACAATTTGGAGTAGTTCAGATAAGTCAATTTATTTACTTGATTGGGGTTTAGTCTGAGTTGCCATAAAAGAGCTCTTTTCTTCCTACTACATAGTTTAACACCACGGGAAAGCCATTTAGGTGTTTTAGCAGTACTTTGTTTATTTATTATAGTTGGGAAACATAAGTCATACATTAATTTAAAAGTGTCAATAAAAGCATTGTAAGCTTCATTTGGGTCAGTCATGTCATAAATTTCTGAAAAGGATATATTACTTAAACATTCCTTAAACTTATTAATATTTTCTTTGTCATAATCTCGCCGAGTAATATACCAACATTTTCCCGCAAAGACTTTATAGACCGGACATTGTAAGAGCTGAGCAGTGTGATCAGACAACGCAAAATTAAATACAGCTGCCTTACTTGACTTATTGAAATTGTGTGCAAAGTTGTCTATGCATGTCATGCTAGCCATACGAGTCGGTTGTTTTATTGCCAATCTCAAGTTAAAATTTAGGAGCAAACATTCAAATAAGGTTGATTGGTTATTAGATTTAAGCATGTCAATATTAAAATCACCTGCAATTACAATTTTCTTTTGTGATTTAGAGATCTCTAAAAGTATAGTTTCTAACTGACTGCACGGTTGGTGCGGTGGCTGGGCAACTGGCTGCCGTGCAACGTGTCGCGGGTTCGATTCCCGCACGGAACAATTCTTTGTGTGACCCACAAATTATTGTTCCGGGTCTGGGTGTCATGTGCATGTGAAATTGTATGTTTGTAACCGCACCCACGACACAGGAGAAAATCCTAGTGTGGGGCAACGTTTTTTTTTAAAAAAAAAAAAAAAAAAAAAAAAAAAAAAAAAAAAAAAAAAAAACTTATCTAGGCAATCTTGAAAGTTACTAACATTCGGCACTCTGTATACACAAACAATTATTACCTTATATTGAGTAAGTTCAATTGCACAACAATTTTATCAACATACGAAAGCCTAGCAGAAAGGGACTCCATGCCTTAGGCATTTTCAGTGCAATCTAGAGTGCAGTGTATATATACTCTGCACCCTAACTACCTCTGGAAGTGATTACAGCCAAATTAACACGAAACTGTGATGATCCATATCCACAATGTCAATATGAACATGAAGAGTAGTTGTATTATTTCCTGGATAGAGCGAGTGGTCGCAGGGACCTTGGTGCCGCTCCATTGATGGCTGGCCGCCTGCCAACGATTTATTTAGATAACGCCTCGCTCTTTCACAATGACTGGCCAACTCAGCGCGGCAACACTGGTGAAATGTCAACGTTGCGGTTCAAAGTCGCATTTACATTATGAGATGTATTTTTTCTAATGTTCTTTACGAGTACTTTCTTTTTTTATACTTATGAGACGTTGATCCGCACAAAAACAAACAAATATTTTACACACACTAAACAAAAAGAATTGATTCGTGCCGGAATCGATTATGACACGTTGCGTGGCAGCCGGTTGCCCAACCACCGCGCCGACCATGTCAATAAAAGTCAACCCACAAAATGTAATTAACTTTAAATCAAAATAAGAAAGTGGATAACTTTGTAAAAAACGTGTATTGGACTCATTTGTGGAGTTAACCTCTCATCTTTAGC